TGGCAGTGGGGAAAGAAGGAAGAAAGGCGGTGAGCAGGCAGGGGCAGGTGGGCTGAAGTGGAAATGTACCCCTAAATGTGCAGGGATTGGGGTGGCTGGGGTGCCAGTGAAGCCTGTGCAGCAGCCCCCAGCCCTTGTGCAGGTCGGCGGCTGGGGGCCCTTTGCAGGTAAGGTGGAGCCTGTAGCTGCTGTACCAGAACTAGCGGTGTTCCAGGAAACAAGTCCCAGCTCTTCCCAGGGCCTTTGAAGTTTGATACTGAGTGAAGCCTCCCAGGCTTTCTCTTGCCAAATAATGTGCCTCTTCTCACCTGGGTGAGAGGCCTGAAGGCAAGGTGGACACAAGGCTTGGAAACTTCCTCCCACTGCTGTTGCAGATACTTTGGGATAGATAATGACATGGTAATTATTTCAGCTGCCTGCAGGATGGGGAGAAGGCAGTGGCTGTCAGGCAGGATGCAGCACTAGCTAACTGTTCAGGACTGAAAGAAAATCAATGGAAAACAACTGACTCCTTGGGAGTCGATTTGGGTGTGTGAGAAGTCTGCTCAGGGCACTCTGTACTGAACCCTTCTCTTGTTATAAGCTTTGAGGAAGTGGTGTTCTCCCAGGGATGGCACTCTGCAGCCTATCACCCCAAAAAAAGTGCCCCTTACAACATCATCTTTTTAGGGAAGCTGTGCAATTCAGCAGAGGGTTTCTCTTAGGTTACCCTTGGCAGGACTTGAAGAAAAAGACTCCGGGATGCTCATGGCAATGAGAAACATGCTACCATAGTATTGATTTTATTTTTTTCAGCTGTATTGATGTCTGCTTTTTTTTTTTTTCTCTGCAGCTTTGTGATGAATCTGGGCAAGGATGCTACCCTCCTTGGACTTCACTTCAATCCCCGTTTTGATGCTCATGGTGATGTGAACACCATCGTGTGCAACTCAAAGAAGGTGGAAGAGTGGGGTGCAGAGCACAGGGAGGCTGTCTTTCCTTTCCAGAAAGGGGGCACAGCAGAGGTGAGCCATGCAAACATTTATATATGTATATAGACTCTCTGTACATGCTGTGGTGAAGGGAGGGTGTTTGGCACAGGACACCCAGCTGCAAGGCCTGTCTCAGGGCTGCCTGTACAGGAGCTGGCTGGCTTCTCCTGCTTGGCCAGTGCCACCCCTCAGGGCTCTGAGCTCTGATGGAGGGTGGGGATCAAATGTCTAAGCTCCATCTGTCTCAAAGATGTTGCTATTGAACAGAGCAGGGAATGGGCATCTCTTGGGAGACCAGAATAACACTCCTGCTGTTGAACAGGTTATTCTGCTGAGCTTGTTCACCCTGTGAAGCAGAGGGTGGCACAGCAGTGCTGCAGAGGCTTGAGGAAACTTTCTCTAACTTTTCCATTTGCCTTGCAGATCACTTTTGCTGTCAACCAAAGTGATGTGACAGTCCACCTGCCAGGCCACCAGTTCACGTTTCCTAACCGGCTTAACCTCTCTGTCTTTGACTACTTTGATACACAAGGGGACTTCACACTCCAGTCCATCAGCTGGGAATAACTTCCTCTGACACCTCCATCTCAAAGATACAGAAAAAGCAATCAATAAATAAGAGTTTTGATGTACTAAATCTCAAAATCTAATCTGTTTCATATTGCGAGTCCTCATGGGTTGGGCACCTTGCTGGGAGTGGGTGGATGGGGTAGCCAGTGTTGCTGGAGTACCCTAAGTGGAGGCAATTGTCCCAGCCTTGGGCCTTGAAAGTCATGGATGGAGAAGAGAATGAAGGTTAAAAGCCTGGGAACACAGGTTAAAAGTCCAAGGAGAGTTGCAGGAGGAGGCATTGGGGCTAATTGTCACTCAGAGGAAAGTAAAAACATCCTTTAAGTAAGGTCACAAGCTGTTGAGGTCTAGACTGACACTTTACACTGCCTGAATAAATTATCTAAACTAAGCACTCCTGGCTGACATCAGACAGCATTGAGTGGCTGGGCTAGCTGAGCCTAGTGGGGCATGGAATGAGGGGAGGTCCTCAGCTGTGCTAGTTTTGGCTGCAGCCTTCTGTAGATGCTGTAGGAATTCCTATTCCTGTGTCTGCTTGGGACCTCTTACTGCTGTATGGAGCCAGTAGAAAAGCTGCCTTGCTGGGTGTGGCAGAGCGTGTAGAGGGTTCATCCAACTCTTTCTTCCAGTAACTGTAGGAGCACAAAGTGGTGTGCTGTGGCACGGGAGGGCAGTAACGTGGAGGTGTCTGATTTTATTCTGCCCCTTCTGCTTTGCCTGCTCACATCCAGAGCTGAGGGAGGCAGCAGTGTCCAGCTGGAGGGTGGAATGCTAAGGATGTGTACTCTATGCTTTTGTTCCTGTTTTACTTGGCCCACATGAACCTGAGTCTAAACTAAGCCAGACTCTGAGGAGACTGAGGCAGTCAGGCATGTTTGATGTTACTCATTGCTGCCTTGGTGCTGCTGCTGAGCATGCTGTGCCCAGTGGGTGTGGGAAAGGTGGGATCTGCCCTCTCCACAGTGCACAGCAGTTACCAGGTCCCTCTGAAATGAAAGGCTTGGCCACAAGCAACACAAAGCACTAGCAATTGGATGTACTACAGAATTCCCTGCAGGCCTGGCTGGGCTAATTCCTCACATTAAGCAGTCTCCAGAGCAGCTGGAAAACAGGGACTTTCCCCTGCAGCAGCTGTATCTGCCATTCTTATTTCATAATTTGTGAGGCTCTGCCAGGTCCTGTGTCCTGGGTGCCTGTGCAGAGAGAGGCTGGGCTGCTAGGAACTGTGAGTCTGAGAGGGAAGAGAGATGAGAGCTTAGCTGAAAGGTAGGGGCACTTGGGCTTTACAAGCAACTTGAGGCTCTGCAGCTGGATCTCTCTTGAAGTCCTGTGTTGCCCAAAGCCCATCTGCTTTGGATGATCACATCACACACTTTTTAAGGCTACATCTACAATTGTAAACATGACATCTAGCATTGCCACCCTGCACATAGGCATGGCAGGGGGACAGCATAGCTTGGGGACTCTTCCCATGGCATGATAAGGATGAAGCCATCCTTTCTGGAGAAGAGAGGCTCAGCAGTACAGAAATGAGCCATGCTAGGCTAGATGGTCTCAAGGCAAGAGACCTGGCTCAGTTTACACAGTGGTGTTGGCACAGTGTGGCAGATGGGTACATTTGGTAGGCCAGAGAATTGGAGGTTTCCCTCAACCACAGCAGGGCCATGGTGCTGGTGAGGGTGCCATGAACTGTCATGATGGACACAGAGGAGAGCTCTCTCCTTGCAGCTTCCTCTGCTGGGCTGATCTTGAAAGCTAAGCAAATGTACTGGACTCCCCGGACTGTACTACAGAGGAATCTCGCAATGCCTCTTAATTGCGCTTGGCAATCTTTCTTTAGATTCTTCAAAGATTTTTCTGTGACGGTTTCTTGAAGAAAGCTCAGTGTTAGCTTTACCACAGGAGTATGAACCTTAGTGAGGTCTCCTGCTAGCCTGGCTGTTTCTTGCAGTGACTCACTGTTCTTGTGAAATCTATGACTCACTGTTGTCCTGACTGTTATGGCTTGGCCCGTTGCTAGCAAGGAGATGAGGGGTGGCAAAGGTTCCCCAGATATATAATTTAGACATATCGAAGCTGACTGCTCCCTTCCACCCACTCCCCAGCCTTGTGCAAGGTGGAGGCTGCAAGGTGTGTGAGAGCTGACGGATCTGAGGATGGAGTCAGGATCCCTGAGACAAGCACTCTCCCCACCCAGCTGAGCAGGATGAGCAGCCATGCAAAGGGGAAAGCACTGCAACAACATTGATGGAAGACACTGCATGCTGGCATGGAAGGTGGCACACTTTTATTTCTCAACATGACCCAGCCAAAGGCCAGATGTTCCCAGCCTGCTCAGCCCTCGCTTTCCCTCACAGACCCCGAGAGCTCCCTGAAAGCCAGGGGGATGGTGTTGCTCCCCGCAGCCTGCTGCGAGGGCTCTGCAGGCCGCGCCATGCCCGTCCCAGAGCGGCCACGGCGCCGGCGGTGGCTGCTGGCAAGCAGGGTGTACAGGAAGGGGTTGACACAGCTGTTGCCATAGGCCAGGCAGGTGACACCGAAGTTAAGGTAGGCCTGGGCGGTGGGGCCAATGCCCAGCCCCTCTCCCTGGTACAGCCCGGCCAGCTGCCAGGCCCAGAAGGGGAGGAAGCAGGCCCAGTAGGCCACCACGATGGCAGAGATCCTGCAGAGGAGCCGCAGCGCCGGGGCCCGGCCGGGCAGCGGCAGCCCCAGCCCCCAGGCCGAGGAGCGGTACGCCCGGGCCAGGCGGGCGTAGACGATGCCCAGCACGGCGCCGGGTGCCAGGACGCTGGTGCTGAACAGCACGGTCAGGTAGAGCCGGAAAGCCGATGGCGTCCAGGTGAGGACGCAGATGCGCTTGCGGGGGCCGTCCCCCTCCCGCAGCTGAGTCATCGCCATCATGGGGGCCGTGAGCAGGAGCGAGAGGAGCCAGAGGATGGCGCTGGCCAGCCTGCGGCAGGCATTGCTGGCCCGCCGGGCCCGCAGGGGCTGGGCCACCGCCCAGTACCTCTCCAGGCTCATGGCGGTCAGGAGGAAGATGCTGGCGTGCATGGTGAGGAGGTCCAGGCTGAGCAGAAGCCTGCAACCCACATCCCCGAAGAACCAGTCGTGGGCGAAATAGGTGCAAACCACAAAGGGGATGGTGGAGAGATACAGGAGGTCAGCCAGGGCAAGGTTGATCATGTAGACCCCCAAGGAGCCTGCTGAGCAGCCTGCCACCCTGCCAGAGGCCACTGCCACTGTGTAGATGTTCCCCACCATCCCAGTGAGGCACATGACCAGCAGCACTGCACCCAGCGGCCCTGTGACCAGACTGTCCCCTCCCAGGTCATTGCTGTCATCACCCCCACCACTGCTTTCCTCCAAGAAACTGCCACCCTTGGGATCCTCTCCAGGACTTGGGCAGATGAGAGAAGTGTTGTAAGACATCTTTGAGTAAGTTAAGCAAGAGCAAATCAAGCTCTCAGAGACCTGTTCCTTCCTCCTGCCTTCCACCCTTGCTGTACTGGACACAACTATCCTTAACAGCAAAGCAGCCAAGGGAAGAATGGGGAGAGTTCATCAGACACAGACAGGGTGCTCCAGAGAAGTCTATTCCTCACCTCCAGCTGCCCAGTCCATTTTGCTGATGTTGTCCATCACAAGCTCTGTCTGGTTGTTTTCCTTAACCATGGAAGAGCCAAGAAAGGGACACTGCCTTTTCCTTCAAGACCAATATATGCAAGGTAACCTCTGCCAGCCAGGAGGAAAGGTCTCTTTTCTTTGCTAGCTTTGTTGCTTCTCCAGAGTTTGCTGGGCCCGCAGAAACAGTGGACGAACAAGTAGATTTCTGCTCCTAAGTCTGTCAGCTCAGCTCAGACAGACTTTGGAGAGGTGGGCTCTGCTTGCTGAGCCAACCCCCTGAGAGCTGCCTTGACCACTGCATGGAGGAATGTGCCTGACTCACAGCTTCACACACCGGTGTGAATACAGTTCCAAATTTATACTGGGCTTTTAGCCCCTAGCTGAGGAGCCCCACTGGCTCCCTTCTCTTTCTGGCAGACATGCTTTCTTCCCCCATATCTTCCTTTATCCTGCTCCGTCTTCCTTCTTGTTCTTATTTCCCTTTCTTTATCCCATTTCTCCTTGTACAGTTGTCCTCATTTGGGACAAGACAACTGAGAGACAAGACTCCATAATATGGCAGGGAGGGTAGAAAGCATCATGCTGTGGCTTTAGAAAGGAAACAGGGGCCAGCCCTGGAAGTGCAATAGGCAGGGAACAGCCACACAGCTCTCCCCAGCCAAGCCAGACTGAAAGAACCTGTCCCACACTCCCTCCCAAGCACATCAGGGCCCTTTGAGGTTTGGGTGTTCTGGATATTGTCCCCAGTTTGCAAGCAGGTCCACCACCTCTCACATTGTCTGTCCTCGCCCTTTTCCACCTTTGCCCACAGGTCAGCAGCAAGCTCCTAGAGACACAAAGGACTGGATATTTTAGACTCCGTTTTTCCTTCCTCTCCACAAAACCATTCTCCTCCTCTGAGCTTTCCCCCTCCTCCCCTCGCAGCCCCGGGAAGCTGCCCCGGGCAGAGCAGGGAGCACCAGCCCATTGCTTGGCACCACCGCCTTCTAGCGAGGCACCAGCACATGACACCCGCACCCGAAGCTACCCGGCCCTCTCCTCACTCACAGCTGAGCCTCCTCGTCTCAAGGAAGACACGGTGGGACAGAATTTGCTAAGCAGAGACAGATGTAGAGACAGACACATAGCTTCATAGTGGCTGAGTCAAATGCCTCTGCTCATATCCAGCAGTGGTAATTCAGCAGCAAACAGGAGGAAGAGGGGGCATCCCATCAGCACTCCCCTCACTGTGCAATGACCTTTGGTTTTCAGGAAAATCATGCTCCAAACTAGGAGAGATCAGCAAAATGCAGTGAAAATATACTTTTAGGTGGATATTTCCATTGCACCATGGTAGTAGGGTGAGAGATGCTTCTACTCATCCAGAAAGCTGATGCTCCCAACAGACTGTGGTGGTCTTGGCACAGAGTGGGGTCCCCAGAGAAGCAGAGGGGCACCGTGAGTCTGCCCATTTGGCTCTGATGGGAACAATCACAGTCCACATGCCTCAGGAAATACAATGAACAGCTATGGCTTTTTGTTTGATCGTCTGTACTTTTTCCCAAGAAACAACCTCATACCTCAGCAGTTAACATGTCAGCTAATTTAAGACATTAAAATAAATTACAATGATATTTTTAAATTATTTCTTTAGGAGCTAATTAAAATACTGGTTTTCTCATTAATTCCAGTTAGCTCCCCTTAACACATGAGACACCTTCTCTCACACTGCCTGATAAAACTGCAAACACATCAGATACTACAGTCACCAGCAGAACTCAGCTACTCCTCCCAGCATGTGTAGCACAGCTCTCCCAAGAAAGCTTCAAGAGATGAGCTTTAAGACATGAATCATGGGTTGATTTTGTGTTTTAGGCTAACTCTTACTAAGAGAACATGAACATACAGATATGTATGTGTGATGGACAAGATAAACATATGCAATGTGCAGGTCAGAATGAAAGTGCCAGGCCCTTGACATACAGGGAATGGGAGAGAAGAGATCCGTGTATTACCATATTCAGCATCAACCCTAGGCTCTAGTAGAGACAGCAGACTCTGAACTCTATACAAGTTATCAGCTCCTCTGCAAGACCCAACCCCTCTTCATTGGTCTGATAGAGACTCAAGCTGGGCAGCTGATCTTCAGTGGCATGAAAATCCCTCACAGTATCTTCCCTAGGGCAGTATTCTACCTCTATCACTTTTTGTTATGTGTGTGCATGCACACATTATCCACATACACAAATGTATATCCACATTATTTTTTATATGATCTCTTAATCTTCTCTGAAGCATTTGGTGGAAGGTCAGCACACAAATGTCATCTGAAGAAGCTTCAAGCCCATACATGGCGGAAGGAAACAAGCCTCACATTTGGCTGTTTAGGTTACATGTTTTAAGTGACCTTTCTCAACCACTGCACTAACTGGTCAAATATCTAGATGTTTCACATCTCTGTCACCCACAGATATGGTATTTCTTGTAAAGGAACAGGCTCTTTTAGTCCAGCAGTCCCTGTAACCCGCTGTGGTGCCTGGCTCCAGCCAGGCAGCTCTTTTCTTGCATCAGGTGGGTGCCTGTCTGCAGTTTCATGCAGGAGTGATGCTGGGTCTCACGTCCAACATAGTAAGTGCCAAAGTTTTCAAGGCCTGACTGACAGGCAAGACCTGTCAGCATCCAGCCACATGACAGCAATTTAACAGGGACAGGTTGTACTGAGGATTCAGACGCACAAAATCTTGCACTTGAAAAGAAGCAGCTTAATCGGGCCCTCAAAACAAAGTGGATATCCTATGGGGGCAAAAGTGCTTCAAAGGGTGCTCCAAGAGCACTGTGTTTCTCTGATATCAATCTCCTCTCCTGTCCTGACAGCCACCCAATAGGACCAGGCAGAGTTGAGTCATAGTGAGATTCCTGCATGGCTTCCTAGGATTTAAACTTGAAGTAGGCTTCAACTGTAGAGAAGAGAAAAGGTGGTGTATTAGGGCAATACCCTGAATGGGAGTGGCAGGAGGGGAAGGAAACAGCATCCAGGCACTTACTTGCATATTCCTGTGGTGTCATGGCCTGGTTGATGACACTAGTGAAGGCTCTGACCCACTCCAGCTGGTCAGTCTCTGTCTCGCAGGTGAAGAGGTATTCCCGGTCAGGGGTGACAATGGTGATGCCGTAGTGCCAAGAGAAGTTGCCCTGTGTCCCTGAAGGCAATCCCTTCTGGACACTATATCCATTCTCTCCACTGCCCACAAACACCTCACCCTTAGCAAAGGCGTCCTGCACATCAGGAGGGAAAGACATTTATGGATTTATGGAATCCCAGAAGAATAAGAGAACAATTACAGGGCACCTAAGGACAAGAGGACAGTGTGTGAGGACCGGGGATGTAGCAGCAAAAGGTTTTGGAGGTGGTCAGGGGTTCAGAAGAGCAGTGAGCCTGTGTTCAAAGGCAGTAGTGAAAAGAAAAACATAAGGCCATGAATCTCAAGAGGTCTGAGAGGGGAGCTGCTGCTCTCATCTCTCTGTGTCACCCTCCCATCACCACCTTTACACTGCTGCCCTCCCTGCTCCCATTGTTTGCAGGCAGTGAAACAAACACAGAAAGCATGTGATGAACTAAAAGGGGTGAAAAGGGGAAGACCTGGAGTCCATTCACAGCAGCTGGGAAACAGCAAGCCGCGCTCACTGCAGAGCACAGGCTCTGTGCGCACTCTGACCCTGCCCCAGCACCGCTGCCCGCAGCTGCCGGCGGTCCATCGCCCTCTCACCAGAGGATCCTTGAAGTACATGAGCCTGCGGTGATCCAGCGTGAACCAGCGCTTCTTGAAGGCCTCTCTCTGCTGTGAAGGGAAGAGGTGACATGTGTGAGGGGACAGTGCCCTCTGCTGCGAGCAGTGCGAATGGATACCCAAACTCAGCCCAACCGCGTGAAGCAAGCCCTGCCGTCAGCAACCTCCTCCTCGCCCTTTCTGAGCCGAGAGCGGGGTCAGTATCGGGTGATTCACTCCCAGCTGCTGTCCCCAACTCCTGAGCTTCGATGAGGGAGCCCAGAGTTGAGACAGGAGAAATCTGAACACTGAATACCCGTAAGGTCACGCACACACAGACACATGCAGAGAGATCTGTTGCTCTGGGAGAAAAAAGGGACTCTGGCTTAACCTACTTTCATATGTGTCCTTCCCCTTCCTTTCATTCTCCCCTCCCTTGGTGCCCACACACTTTTCCCGCGGGTTTCTAAAGAGTCAGGGGGGAATGAGGAAACGGCAGCAGAAAAACATTGAAGTAGGGAAAGCCAGTGGTGCTCTGGCAGACCGCTGTTTGATTTTTTTCTACTATAGCAGCTCACCTTGGGACCAGTCTTCTCCATGTATCCCTCCTTCAAGAAGTTTCTGGTCAGACGATTTTTGATCTGACAAAATTGCAAGAGTATCATTCACTTAGCTGTGCCTCTTCACTATTCATTTCCCTCCCCCACCCTTCTATTCCCCCAAATTCAGTCACCTTCTAAATTTATATTTCCCAAACTGCCTACCTAGGCATCACTTCTGCCTCCAAAACAGCAGAGAGCAGCTATTTTCTGACCACCACAGGCCCTTTTAAAAACACCTTCTCATCCCTCTGTCTTTACCCTGCAGTTTCCACTTCCATACCTGGGGTTATAACAGTAACTAACGAGCTCTTTTATCATGCAAGCAGCGGGAGGCTCAGGAGGAGCTCCAGTGCTGCCTTACCTCATTATCGCTGGCAATGGGAAATGCCACCTTCAGGTAATGGAACTGCACTGAGCGGATGGCATTGAACCAGTCCACTACCTCCTGAGGGTAGAACAGGACAGAAAGCTTAGCCAGAGCAACAGAGGGGCATCTAAACTCACCCAGCTGCACCCAGCCCTGAGTTAGCTACAAGCACAGTCAGCTCTCCCTCTGTAGCATCTCCCTCACATGCACACAGCCAGCACGGCTGCCCCATTCCCCACATGCACAGGCAGCACATCTTCTGTAGAACTCCTCCCACACAAACCAACTCAGCCAGTGCTCCAGCCCTGCTCCCTGCAGCAAAACTCTCTCACAGATGCACAAACACAGAGCCAGAACCCCCACCCTATTACCTACAGCAACTCACACTCACACACCCCATCCTACCCATGCTTCATACTATTTAATATCAGCAAATCCTCAAAGCACCTCAATGGCTTTGTAGGGTTTGATGCTGAAACCAAATACCTTTCCACTTTCATGGTAGACAAATATATTCCGGGTCTTATTGTCTTTGAGATAGGTGATCTGCAGGCCATTGGGGTTCCCAATCTTCTCTGGCTGGAATGTAGCATTGATTACATCTATTTTAACGTTGATTTTGGGTTCTTTGGCCTGAAAACAGAATGGCATTGACCATGCATGAGCAATCCTAGAAGGAAAGAGATCTGAGCTACTGATTACCTGGGGTAAGGCAAGGTCAGAGGCCTGACCAGGTGGAGAACCTTGTACTTGGCTTTTTTAAACCTTCTGAGGTTCATATCAGCCCACTTCTGGAGCTTGTCCAGGTTTCTCTGGATGGCATGTCCTGCTTCTCCCTACCCTGAGCCATTCCCTCCCTTGTGACAGCATTTTAGCTCTTGCCCCACTCATTTCAGAGATATGAATGAGCAGAAAAGTAGCCCTCCTCAAAACCAACCTGAGAAAAGGTTTTTGCCAACTTGGCTCACAGTGGAGTGAGAGGTTGGTTACACAAATGGTGCAGGATTACACATCCAGGCAAATGGGTAGGAGTGAAATTGAAGATCAATCTTTTTCTCAGTAGTGAGGGAAGCACAGAGGGAGAGCATGAGGAAAAGTCACTCTGACAGTAGGAAGGGGACCCTTCTCCTTAGTGACATGTTTTGTTCTCATCTCTGAGCTGGGAACAAAGCAACCTCAGAAACATGCGTAGGAAGTCAGAACATCTCTGCGACCCCACTGCTCTGGGTGGAGCACACACTGAGGTAGGAGTTGACCACCATACTCACATCCTGCTTGGTGAAATACTTCAGACATCCCTCTCTCTCAGACAAGAGGAACTTGCGGGGTAGGAACTGCCCGTTGTCTCGGCCTCGCTTCCAAAGGATGCCTTCCTTCACCCCTTGGAGCAGAAAAGGCACTTATAGTAGCATTCCCCACAGGCATGGTAGGCACCAGAGAGCTGCATGCAGCCTGGGGCCCAGCCACCCCTCTGTGACAAAGAACATGATGGGCTCTTGCTGAGAGTAAACACTTGAGATGTTTCACCTCTGACTTACAACTAAAGATGCTGTGTCCCCATGTTTGCAGTGCAGATAAGTGCTCACCAAAAGACATTCCCAGATACTTCCCACCTCCTAGTCCTGCTCCTACTACTACCTCTGACAGTGTGAGAGCTGTCTCCTGTGAACACTAGAGTCCTGGCCCATGCAGATTCTGGTGAGGGACCAGAACTCTTCCCACCTGACTCTGCAGGCTCTTGGGCTCCAGTGCCCTTTGTCACAGGGCTGACAGTGCCGATTCAAGGACAACTGACCGGGTTATAGGGGGCGGCATGCAGCAGGGCAGACATTCCTTATTGCAGATGTCTGTCTCCAACAAGACAAAAAATGTCTTTGAAAAATGCCGCCTGGTAACACAAGGCTTCTAAGCTACCAGTGGCAGTGCCAGCCTATGTTGTTCGCAATTTAACACCCCCAAAACGAAAGCCCTGTAATGACCACTTGGGTTCTCAGGAGTGCTTGTGGGATTTGCAACACTGGCACCTCATGACACTCAGAAGTTGCCAGCAAAGACAACAAGCAGGATGTTATGATGCTGTATTCTGCTCTTACCATCAGAATATGGGAGCTGTTTTCCCGGCTCAGTAAATTCTTTGCGTTCATATTTGGCCCGTATCCACTGTTCTCTCAGCACTCTATGGAGAGAGGGGACAGGTAGCTCAGAAACAAACTAGAGGAATTAGAGGAACAGAGAATTGCCCTTCCCCCTTTCCTTCTGCATGCAGCAACTTACTGGCAGTCATTGTAGGTTGGCTGGTAATAGTAAATAGGGATGTGAGCTTCATATATGGCTTTAGTCACAGCATTCCCATGCTTGGCCAGAAACTGCAGAGGTAGACAGAGAGTTAGTGCTTTGCCTTTGATGCACACTCATGTTGGACCTTTTCTTTCCTGACCCACTACAGAGTCAGATGCATATCAAACTCTAATGGAGCATTCTCTTTCCCCTCCATTGCAACATCCCAGCAGTCTGGCAGCAGGAAGGTGGGTCTCAAAGGTCTCATCTACTCTCAGACATTACAGTGATTGCACCTGAATCAATAGAGTGCCATAAATGTCACTTCCGTAAGCTGGGTGCTCACACATTCAGTGGATTTGCTGCCATGCCCCGCATCTCCTGAAGAGCTTGACAACAGCTCTGCAATGGCATCTGGAAGGACATTCCAACCTCTTCCAAAGAGCAACAAGACACAGATTATTCTTTTTGGATCTCCAGAAAATATTTTCAGTCCCCTAAAAATTAGTGAGTTGAGCGGGCTGTAACGGGAAGAAGTCAAGTTCTCATAAGAGCCATTTTTCTCAAGAGATTGTATTATATCTGGAAACTTTTCTTGGAGAATGGAGTTGCCCAAGATTTTCCCCTTGGACTGCTGAAATCAAGAGGACACATTGAGGCTGGATGACCTTGGCAAGTGGAAAACAAGTAATCTGAAGCAACAAAGACCCTAAGCCTTAGTATGATACATTGCAAGAGCTCTGCATTTGCCATAAAGTAACAGGACATGCGGAGACACATAAGGCAAGTGTGTCTTCCCTCTCCCAGTGGGTTGTGGGGAGTTATCCCTGATTTTCATGCGTAGAAAAGAGACTGACTAAACCAGATTACATTCCAACTCTGTGAGGTCAAAGGACTAATTTTGCCAGGACACTGAGTGTATAACCTAGTCCACACCACCTGCCCTACCCATGGGGATAAAGATCTCACCTGCACCTGAGCATCATCCCAGTAGTCCATCTTCAGGGATTTGACTTTGCTGATGCTAGGGATGTTGCGGTGAATTGCTGAACAGCTGAGGCATATAAAGACACCCAAAGTAGAGGATGCCCAGTCAGGATCTGAGAATATGGAAAAGGGTATAACTAGAAGTGGTGAATATCCCTGGGATATATGCCTCACCTGAAAATGTAGTCCTGAGAAACAGGGAGCTGATGACCACAGTTTCATCTGAGCTGAGTAATTAATGCCCAAGGCATGGATGCTAGTCAGAAAAAACACAGTCATTGGTCCCTCATTCCCCATTCTAATCACTTTGCTGAATTTTTAATGACCTGTATCTTGAAAAACCCCACAGTGCTCTGTCAACTCCATTTGTGTAAAGGATCACCCAAAGGAAAATGAAATCTCCTCTGGGAAAAGACCCCAGGAGTTGTTTAGTGCATCTCAACAAACCCCTAACAGTGTTTAGTCCAGGAAGTGGAAAACAACCTTGAATCTAAAACTCTCCTGGAATAATTAAAAAGTGCAAAATTGTATTAATTTGCCCAGTCTTAATCTGGCTTGGGTAGTACACTCCTTTTGGAGGTATATGATGGGTGGTTTTAGTAGCACTTGTAGGACCACAAACTGGGTACCCTTCTGAGAGGGCAAGCCCTTCAGTAAATGAAATTTCCCAGGCAGTTGTAGCAGGTTGTCAGTTCAGAGCTGAGTCATGGCGGAGACAATGCCCTCCTGAATCATGCCTTCTTTCTGGAAAAGTTAGGATTTCACTGCAAGCTTTCCTGTCAGGTCCTGACTGGGCATGACTTTGGTTTGCATTTGCAATCTGACATGACTACAACCCACGGTGCTGCAGCTATGGAGCCCCTGCTAATCTGGCACCCCCACACCCCTGTCCTTCCCACCAGTGCCATGGCAGCATCTTCTCCCTCCTCCCTTGCCAACCCACCTGAAGGGAGAGGAAATGAATACTCAGAGCGATGCCTCCCCTTTCTCTCCAGTCCAGGATCCTGTGCAGTCCAGCTAGCCAGCACTAAGTGGCTGCTAGAGATCAGCCCCAGCTCCCTGCTTCCAACTTCTCCTGCAGCATCCTTTGGGGACTCACCTGGCTTCCCGCAGTCTGCACACAAAGAGTTCTCTGCTCTTTTCCACACTTCCTTCAGGGCCTTCATGCTCCGCTCGTTCCCTGCAGCCATCGCCTCAGAACGGTGTCCCTCCAGGCAGGGCAGGACCGGGCCAGGAGGGCAGCTACCTGCACCTTATGCACCTGCAGGCCAACTCACTGCGTTACCCAGGCGTGAAGTAGCCACCAGAGAGACAAGCTCTGGCAGCCAGAGAGAAAAGAGGAAGGCAAAGAAGCCTAAGGTTAAGGTAAATGGGAAGGGAACAGAGGCCTGTCAGTGCACCTGAGCCAGCAGAGCACAGGCGGAGGCAGAGGCTGGAGGCTGAAGTGCACCCAGACTGTGCGTGAGGACTGAGGAGGAGCAGGAGACCTGCCCCATGGGCGTGGAGGGAAGTGCAGCAACTAACCACAGAACTGGTTTTTCCACATTTCTGCTGGTGAAAGGACAGACCAGGAAAAGAGCGAAAGCAGCAAGCAAGCTGATAAAGGAAAACTGGCTGTGGCCAAGTGACTGCCAGGCTGTGACAGGACTACTGCCAGGACTCGTCATGCTCTGTGGGCTAAGGGGGCTGGCTTTGGCTGCCCCCACAACACTTCAGAAGCTTCCACCTAAGTCAGCCGGCCACCACACAGGCATTACACCCATTTTTAAGGAGAGAACAGGGGAGCAATAAAGGTTCAGGAGCTCAGCCAATGTCACTCTAAGCCATCAGAACATGGCAGTCTTTCTTGATGCCCCCACCAACAGTACCTCTCTCCACCACTACAGAAATCATGGCTGGCCAGCCAGATACTGCAACTTGGACACAGCATCAGAGCCAAGACGCATCTCCATAGCTGCCCTCTCCAGATTAGAGGAGCAGCACATGCACTGCTAACAGCAAGAAATGACAATAGCTTGAAATTTACTCAGAGCTCTATTGAAGAATGCTCAGTTGAAGAACTGCAGATGTTAACTATTCGGAAGAGTGGCATTTATTTAAGAGATGTAGATGTAAAACACTCGGGAGTGTCAGAACGAGTCTGGGGCTACACGGTGAGAGCGGGTGCTACGCTGCCATGTTCTGGCTTAGAGTGGCCGGCACAAGGCAGCGCCACAGAATCTTCTGCTGGGAGGCAGCTGAAGAGGAGCACAGCCGGCGGCTCCCACAGGACTCCAACCCGGGATCAG